CAAATAGAGTTGAAATAATTTTCTTAATATAGTTTTTGCGGCCATTTTTCGTAGCATAAATTTTGGCTCCCACTGTTTATCATAGCAGTAGAGTAATGAGGAGCAAAGTTTTAAAATGTTATACCCTAATAACTTTCATCATTTTAGATTAACATATGAATGGATATATTGAGCACTAGCGTTAATGTGTAAAATGATTACCATTTTTTCATTAATAAATCGCCTGAATATTTTCGGATATTTTCGGGTCTGCTTTGTGAAATGCTGTAAGGGGCTTTGATAAACTAGGCTGTAGCGCTTCTCTGAGCAACTGATGTGTTGCCAACTTATTTTTATGTCAAGAGGAAGCAAGCAACCAGGCGGTTAACCGGATGGTATGTGATAACCGCCCTCCAGGGACATTTGCAGCACACGTAGAGCTGCAGATATGTTGCAATCTTTAAATAAAGTGGTCTCCGGCTACCTCACTCACCATACGATACCCAAAAGTATAACATTTCCACTGCATGCCGGTCTTCTGCGAGGTCGTGGTACCATCCGGGACGGACCTGCTCATTGGTGCAACAGCGAAGACTGTTACGAGGTCTTACCACATTTAACTTTCGTGGTTGACACTGTTGAACGTCAAAGACATGTAAAATAAAACTACATTGGCTTTATCGTTTGCTTGTGTCTTTCAATTCCTTAAATTAACAAGTATACATATCTATGTACTAAGCAACAGTAGTGTAACCTGTTCTCATAATAACGATTGGCTCCAGACAGCTTATACGCAATTTACATGTCGCATGCGAAACCCTTTATATATTAGAGCTAAGAAACATCTTGATGCAATGCCCCCACATTACGCTGGACAGTTTTAATATTGCCACTCGTACGATTATTTTATGTGCGGAAGGGAAACTAACGCCTATGCTTCTCTGGACAATAAGGTCTTTCGGGCCATATGCCATATGACATATTGCCTAGCCTAAAATAAGCACGTACTGGCGTGTAAAGAAGCCATTAATGCGGAGCTTGCTCTTGTCGTTATTAATATTTATTAGAGGTGAAACTAATGTATCACTTCTTCTAATTGTGTAATTCGTTAAAAAATTCTTTTAAATTCAAATGGAATGCATTAAAGCTATTTTCTTTATTTTTTATTATTTCCGAAATATTTGACTCGTGTGTGAATTATGAAGATTTAAGGGTTTAGCACTTTTACTTAAGCAAGTTACCCGTGGAAAATAAATTTACCACGTATTATAACAGGCCATAACATTATTCTTATATTTTTCTAGTATTTATTTTATTTCCTTTTTTGTTTAGTTGTTCAGTTTTTTTGTAATTATGCAATAGTTTTATATTCATTTCATCCCGTATTAGTTTGCTTTTACTTCAGTCATTGTGTGAGGTTTTGAGAAATTCATATCTTTGCAAATGTAAACTGTATGCAAATAAACATTTACTTGTGGCAATAGTGAATTTCCGCGTAAGGGTCTATATGGCACCGCGCGATCCCATACGCCGTCAGTAAATCGCGCTCTAACGCAAATGTCAATTTAGTTTACATTGTTTATTGGCACTGCGCAATTGCACAACGCAGAGATCCAGCGCCCAGACTATTGTTTGGTATTTAAATCATCCGATCAGCTGATCGCGGCCGCCCAACCTTTCACGATGTTTACATAAAACACGCCGAGGGATTCGTACGTGGCTAGGCTTTCTACGGGTTATATAAGGGCCCGTGCAAAATATGTGACTTGCGGATGCAATCGTGTTTAACATCCCCGCTTGCTTGCGCGTTTAATTTACGGCAATAACTTTTTAATCGATCTAACAAATGAAACAGATCTATGTATGACATGTTTCATAAAAATATCAATAAAAAGCGTCCAAGATATTGTCGATACAGGCACGAAAGAATAATAGAAGTCGGAAATTGATAATAAAATTCATTAATCAATCATCGTCCCCATCATTGTTTAAATTTACTACATCACCTCTGAATAAGTAGATAATGAAGGAGCAGAGTCTTGTTGAACAACCACTTCTTTGTGACTACTTTTTTGTGTCTGTTCTTGATTTGTAAGGAATTTTATCACATCGCGATTTTTTTCCAACATTGTCTTATCAGTCATCGTAGTTGCCTTTTCGCTATGTTATCTTGAATACTAATGGTGACAATTGAGTGAAAATTTATATTTATGCCGTCAAAGGATGTCTTTAACTAATGAGTTAATTTAATAAACCTACCATCATTACTATATCACCGTCATATCGAGAATACATTGAATGCCCCTCGTATGTACATCCATACATATGTATGACCTTTTGCTTCATTACTTTTTTAGTGGAAATTAAAGAAAATGAATGAATTTAGAAATATGCCTGCCGTCGACTCCAATGTTTAGTTCAAAGGTTTGATGAAACAATTTCATTAATTTGAAATATTTTTTTAAACTTAATTACCTCGTTGTCAAATAATTTAAAAATGCGATAACTCATACAATTGAACTGGCAACTTAAATAATTGTCTCACATCAAAAATAGCCGTCCATAAAAAAGTGATTGCAAAGCGGCCAGTTTGAAAAGCATTATATAAATCCGCATCGACGTATGGTAATGAAGTGTGCGCCAACAATTTATTATCTGTTCAAGTCGGCGAGTTTGTACGGGCAGCTAGATTCGAATAAAACCTTCATTTTAGTGCCAACGATGGCTGTAAAGCGTTTATGTCGTCACGATATTTCACGTGAGCACAATAGTCCTTGTCGCTAAGACCAAATATAGCGAGTTTCTGCTTTGTCCTTACATAGATTAGCCTCACACGCTTGTAATTATTTCTCTTATACTTAGAATAACGATTATTTTTCGTTTTTTTCAAGTTATTCGATTTTTGACCTCAACGTACCTACGTTCCGTGGCTATGGATCCTGTAACAAATCCACAAGAATCATGAGTTGACTTATAATAAAATTGTCATTTACCATAGGTAAACGCTTTCCTGTAGCCAGGCATTTTATGCATATTTTGTTTTTGTCTTCGCCGTTCTTCGCTTAGTAATAACAAAACATCTAGTAGGCATGCTCATAATCGATCAATTACCTTAGTTTAAAAAACTGCCAATATTGAATTCACATAAATTAAGAATTCTAACCAACAGAGTCATCAGGCATAGCTCTTATTTTTTTTCTATCTATTCATTAATCTTTTATGTCTCTTAGTATTGTCTTGCTCTCACTGTGCATGTTTCGTGGTTAAGGAACGCACTGGTGGCCAAAAACGTGAGCACCATTCAAGTGGAGTCTACTTAAATGCAGAGTAGGATGCACTCTTATCAGAAGGATAATCATAATCTGCACAAGGTGGGTGGTGCTAACTCGGAGGCCTAGCCGAAAATCGAGCAATATGTCGTGTCTTTAGAAAGGCATACGTCTAAAGGGGGACTGCCGTAGGCTGATGATGATAACTTCATTGATTTGAAGTGTATATCCGTCTACATTGTACTTCGCTGTTCGCGACCTGTTGCACAAATGGGTCTGGGTAAGTACCACTACTTTACAGAAGACCGGCGTGAAGTGGAAGTGTTTCTGCGTTTCGTTTAATGAGTGAGGTAACCGGGACCATCTTTGTTAAAAGTTGGCAACGTATCTGTTTCCCTATGGGTGTTGCAAATTTCCCGGGGCGGCAGTTATCACTTATCATCAGGTGAACCCCTAGCTAGCTTAACACCATCTCGCATAATATCACTTTTTTATAATACATTATAAAGTTATAGGAACAAACCTTTGCTGAAAGCAAATAAAATTTACGCTTAAGAACGCAGACAGTGATTTGAATGAAAATAAAGATGCAGCACTAGCGTGCGTGAACAGGTTTATAGAACTATTCAATAAACGGGTCCCAAATTTTAATTCTAAATAAATTTTTTGAACATGCATTAGTGCCGCTGTTTCAGGGTGACGGACTTGACCGAAAAAAGTGGTTTGAGTGACGTCACGCTTGGCACTAAATTTATCCGTTTGTTCGTTTGCTACATTTTCTTCTGAAAAGTCCTATAAAGGAAGACCCATTATACCATTTTATTAAAAGGTGGCAACGCATCTGTAACTTACGGGTGTTGCAAATGTCCGTGGGCATCGGTTATCATTCAACATTAGGTAAACCGCCAGCCCGATTGCCACCTACTCGCGTAAAAAAAACATATGTAATATCATTTGCTATACGTAACTCGACCACGCGATCTTCAATACAAACTTCGTATAGGCACTAATTTAAAAACGTAAGAACCCATTCGTTGTCTTATTAAATTTTGTATCGTTTACCTAATGCTCATACACTAGGTCGTAAGTCATAACGCAATTTTAAAAATAATTGTGAGCTCACGAAACAGGTTTCTTAACGCATGTATGATATCGATGACGATATCGTTGATTATCCTGTGTATGTAATATTGTTGAGTAAATTCAAATGTGACTAAGACAAAGTAAAACAAATCTTGATGTGGGAGGCAAAATCAGTGATAAACTCTGTGGTTCATATACATTCTTTTCTCATAAAATAAAGTTTCTATGTTGGTATCAAATTATAACAATGCATTATACGTCGATTGTTATACTCGGAGATCTCTTCAAGATACGATCACATACAGGAGACGATTAACATTGACAAATGATGTGTGTACAACGTGCGGGGCAACAAAAAAAACGCGGCATATCAGCGGAGCTGTTAAAGAAATATTATCGTATAGAGCGCGAGGTTTTTTTTCACCCAACTCTATCACGATAAGGCGAGCGTTCACGGATGTCGTAATTAGTCTGTCATTAAGTCGAACACTTTATCGTAGGGGTCCATCGGCGCCTCTCGAGATTTCGAGTCGAGTTCTCGCGTCGCGCAAGAGGCTGTCGAGTGTCGTTGGTAATTGATGAACCGCCACGAAGTGGTCGCGACGAATTTGCCGTCGGGTGTTTCGTACGCGTGACGGCGACGCGAGGCGTGTACGCCGCGGTGTGTTAGCGCGCGCATATATCACCGTTCGACTTGGTACACCTGCGAGGCCCCGCCCACCGCGTCCCCCTCCCCCGCGCAGTGGTCCCCTCGTCTTCCGCTGCACCATCATCCAGCCCTGGCGGACATTGCACGGCGAGACGTGAACGGAAGCGGTCGCCACTGACGTCCGCACTTTCGACCTGTTCCGCGTTTTCTGATCGAGTGGTGTGTTGGGACATTGTGTTTGCACAGAACTATCCTTGTGTCTGACGGTGGTTGATTTTGAAGATAACCTGTAAGTTGCTATTGATAAGGGAGCTTTTTTTTTATGAATGTTTATTGCATTTCAGTGCTGTTTCGTACCGGTTTCGGTTTTCGGTTTCAAGTAACTAAATTCACAATTTTGATAAGTTAAATTAATTATTTGATGTCAATTTATGTCAAATCGAGCATATATAAGCATATATAAGCGTATATATCGAGCATATATAAGCATTAATAGAAGGTAAACAAGTTTGTTTGAATACAAACAATAAAAAAATAGTTAATACATGTCGAACTTACTTTAAGCTCCTGCTGTTTAGGTATTAGTTCAGATGTAATTTTATTTGTCCTATCAGCATTACCATCATGCTAAATATATCTCGTAAGTAACTTTTACGAACTTTTTTTAACACTTTCCGTGAAGCCTCCACAAACCTGTTGAACCTTCGTGGGCGGAGCTTACAAAGCGATTTGTGCGCATGCGCGTTACATTCGCAGTTGGATTTGAATCTCAGCAACACAGCAATCACAATTTTTGTGCATTATGTAACAACATGAGACGGTACACTTGCGTGCGCGATGGGCACGCTTTAAGTTAATGTTTGCAAGTATGATGCAAAGCAGTTTCGCTGTTCGGATAGAGTTGTTACGAAGGCTCTTCGTAACAACTCTATCCGAACTCCCCGTAATAAGGAGTTGTTTTAAAGATATATTTATTTGTAAATGTATTGTTACGTTTGTAATTGTTACGTTATCTTAAACTCAAACTATATTCACTGAACTTTTGAAGTGATTGAACAGGTGTGATAAAAAAATTACATAAATATTTACCATTTTTATTATACTTAACGCCCAGAAAATTGGTACATTATTAGTGTAGCATATTTATTACGTTTAAATACAGGTTATAAAGTGCATATCTTCAATCTTTATTTGTATCTTCTTTAATATATCATTTAAAATTAATTAACAATTGTCTATCATTAAGCTTCTGCTGGTTGCTTTTGGATTGTTCATTCAATTTAAATTTGATTGTATACACATCAATCTGAGGTTTTGTACATATATTATTCTATTCTCGGATCAAGCGGTAGTCCTAACAATTACTATAAAATTATAATTGAAATTGATTGCTCAGTGTCGCAATTATAGAGTTTTTTATGCATCCTATTCGTCGCATATTTTTACGACACAAGAATTAATCATTACTTGCAATCCTTAAATGACAATCAATTTATCTTTGTATACGGAAAAATAAGTCTTGTATAAGAAAAGTTGTCCAATGAAACGACTCCGATATTGAGCCTATCACTGCTTTAGATAAAAAAATATCTTGAGCCCGCTTAGGGTTTTCATATCCCCAATATTTAGTCGTTGGACTTTATTTTTCAGGGGAATTTCACACTACTAACAAACCTTTTTCTTAGTAACACAGTCACTATCAATCAAGAAAAGGTTTTTTTTTATTTCACTTTGTCAATCAGATTAAACATGGAATACAAACTTTTTTTTTAGTAATAATTGGCCAGTATCACGGCATAGTAAAGCTAACATGGATAAGGCGGCGATGTCCTAAGATACCCGTGGAAACTGACGACGGGCACGCCATCAGAATACCGCATTGTTTGTTTCCAACAATGATGCTTTCGACTTCGTAATGCCGAATTAAAATTTCAAACAAAATTGCTTTAACACTGTCGAGTAAAAGTCGTAAAAAATACATTTTTCGTAGATCACAACACGAAGAAAGACACGTATAACATTTATAATAAGTTTATGCTACATAGTAGATATTTTTAACTGGAGGCTGAGAATTTTTTCTATAATCAAAATTTACATTAATTTCGTTATAACATTCGTTTGGAACCGATAGATAGACAGATAACAATAGTTGTTAACTGCTTAGAACACGTCGTACGTATTACGAGGACTTACAAAAGATCAGAAACATCTTTTATCAAACCATAACGATAAGATTTGAGTTATCTTTATATAGAAAAATGACAACCGACAAATAACAAAACCGGTTTCAAATACCTCACTATACATTTTCTATTTAATTTTGAGGGGTTATCTACGTGTTTCCGAATTCCTTGGAGTTAAACCGAATCCATTGCAAAATTAATTTTCAAAATCGGTTCATAAATGACCGAGTTCTGAGGTAACAACCTTAAAAAAATACGACCTCCTTTTTGAAGTATTTTGAAAACAAAATATAGGTTAAAAATAAACAATGCATGTCAGTAGTAAGATAATCTAAATTACTTTATAAAGATGTTGGAAATCCAGGTTAAGTCAATACTTAATACATGGATTTATAGCTCGTCGAAGGTTCCTATTACTCATCACGAATTGCCATGCAACGCATAGGTCAGTGCACTGGCGAACTAATGAACGCGAGATAACAGGCAAATGTAGAGTCGGCCAATAATGCTATTACGCGTCGTCTCCTAGATGTCAATTCCTGCTATCGCACGAGAGACCGCTAATTGGATTTAAGATAATGTTACCAATGATGACGCCCTAGCTTCCCGGCGGTCATTGTACCTGATTCCCAAGCATAAAGTCCCGTATTGAAGACATACCTGTTGCTTAATCTTTATGAGCCCTATAAAATATTTAATAATCCACTCTGTACTACGTTCGAGAATGAACGAAGCATTACTTTGTTTCTCTCGCCTTCCCCATCTTAACTTTTCTATGGTTGACCTAAGTACGAAGGAGCATCGATATTGTATACATAAGACCATCGTAATTATGAACACTTATGGTATTGTGACACCAATCTTTGAATGTGCCTACAGTTAGCGAAACGCTTTTGAATTGGAATGTTTAAAACGGACTGCCACCATACACATTTAGGTTTTCCTTACTTAAGATCACAACTTTTTTATGTGAGAAAATGTTAATAGATCTGACGGTTAACCTGATGTTATGTGATAACCGCCGTCCATTGATATTTGTAACACCCGTAGGGTTAGAGATGCGTTACCATTTTCTTAATAGAGCGGATCCCGGCTACCTCACTCACTAGACGAAATGCAGAAGTATAACGCCGGTCTTCGGTGTGGTCGTGGTACTTACCCAGGCGGATCTGCCCATTTGTGCAACAGCGAAGACTGTTGCGTAGCCCTACCACAGTTAAGGTTTTTGCTTGATTAAAATCCTGTTCATCACGTAAACCTGATTGTCTGTGGGGCCGTCTCCGTCATAGAGGTTTTAGCCTTTATTTTATTTTGTAGTAAAATATCTGACAACTAAATAAGTTAGATTTGATTAAGCCCTGAAAAAAAGAACGTTAATCAGGTATCATCACAATCCACAATGTTAACGCTACATCTGATCCAGGAAGGATTTCATTAATATCTATAATTAGGGAATACTATTTAAAGAAACCAAAAGATGAAGGTTCTAATACTATACGTTTTGTGCATATTCGTCATCCGATAGTGCACCTTGAGGTATTGCTTAAAACGTAGAGTGAACAGTGCCATCTCGCATAATGGGACCTGTGATTCACGACAGGCAATTATAAACAATAAAGTAGTGGTTACCACCAGCTCGTCCAATTGAGTGAGCCTGCCGCGTGGGTGGCTCACTCCAAACCGCAAAGCATATGCGTAGCTGAACGTTAATATGAATGTCATTGTGCTAATACAACTCCTACTGGATTCTGTGAGCTTAATTTTACGCCGTCGGTCAAGTATTACGAATTATATATTTTTTTTTAATTCGAACGCCTTACAGTTTTCCTGACAGTGAGAGGGAAAAAATTCACGTAATTATAAAAAACTGAGTTCGCGTTTCGTCACAATATTTTAGTGTAGTGTCAATTACATACAGGAGAACAGATTTGTATGTTTTGAAACGTATATATACACATAAACCTGATTGTTATGACACGGTCTGCACGGAGATTGACTTGTTGACTAAACTGCTCAACACTTGTAATGATGATTAAATTCTTTTTTGGTGAAAGCCGTGCTCGATTCATTTCGACCATTCCACGTTGTGATGTCAAAACCACTTATACAGCAACATGATTTGCACCAAGTCTCACATTTGTAGTGAATAATCTGTATATATCGATAAAAATTGTTTTTCTTTTGGTCCTAAATGCCATACTCATAAAAAGAAAGATAATTCTGAAACTCTAGAATCATTTAGAAATAGCATGAAGTAATTAATACTTTAACTATTTAGATATTATTTATTTTTATTATTTTTCATTGGATAAGTTATATTTAAATGAAATTAAATTTAATTAACGGGCTAAACCCATTCCATGAAGCTTGAAAGTATTCAAAATGTCAGAATTTTAAATTAAAATTGGTAAATTAGGTAAAAATGGTTTTGTTTAATAATAATCTTGTTCGTGCACGACAAGATATTGATATTATATTTTCTAAGAATTTCCACCTGTGGTTTATAGACTAACAATACTTGACCATATTTAAGTACCCATTAATTTAGCAATAGCGCGTGGAGAATAAATTAGTGGCATATTAAAACCGTCTGCTAATTAGTTCGGCGTGTAAGATCTCGACAACGGGCTGGTTTGCACGAGTGAGCGCCTTGTTCGCATGTCTGTATGCCTTTAACCTCTTTAACAACGGCTACGTGACTGAGTTCGAGTATCGACCGCTAATCTCTAATCAGCTCTTTAACTGAACCAGTTAATGTCTAATGTGTCGCGGAAGCTATCGCCTTCCACTTCTGTGCCTTCCGTTACAATTAATCGTTATCACATTTTTTAATAAATTGTTTTGGTGTATTTTTTTCGATAAAATGTACCAAATGATCACCTACTAGCCGAATTAGCTCTACAGAGATTATGAAATTTTAACCATAGCTAAGAATTAAATGAGAATGCACAAAAATAAAAAGTTTGGAAAATCGAAAATTGCACGCCTCATACCATTTATTTAATTTTTAAGAACGAAAAAACAAGTAATTATTGATATCAAATAGGTAT